CTTAGTTTAGAAAATACATGACACAGTCACACTAGTGGGAGAGAATCAATGATGTTGATCAGCTCAGACACCATGGAACCTAGTTTCACTACCCCTCAGATACTTGATTTCTTTCTCATCTCATTATCCACTAAGATAAATAATATATCAGGAGCTGAACAAGGAGGTCAGGCATTTTTGAGATTTTTCTGTAATCTGCTCCCAGTCAAAAACAAGGTGAAAGCGTTCCCACCCTCCTCTGAAAGAGGAAAACGTGGATCACTGCCCAGCTCACTCCTCGCTTTGCAAATTCTGGACTTCAAATTAAAATTGTAGGTCAAGTTCATTAACCTTCAGCAGGTGGAATTCCACTTGAATAGCCTGTCCCAGGAAGGTTCCCTTTGAGAGTCCTTCATAAGAAAGGAAGCAGAATCTAAACAAATCCACAAATCAGGGGGATAGAACTAGAATACTACAACCTGGCGATGTGGGGTTCCTCTCGGGATCAGAGGAAGGTTCAGTGAGGAAAACTATACATGTCCTATGTGAAATGAGAAAACCCATTTGTCCATCGATAGAGAACAAAACCCAGCGTTCCCGATTTTGAGAGGTGTAGCATAGGAACACCTAATGGCTCCTTTCTTAACAGGGGCAATCAGACCACACTATGTCTACAGTTAGAATACTGGAGGCACGCTCACTTCAGTGTCAGAAGCAAGACCAGCATCGTCCCCTCTTTAGCAGTGCATTTGTCAATATATCGAGTGATTAGACAAAAGGAGAGGAAGAGGAAGGAGGGAGGAGAAAATCAAGGGAGGAAGAGAAGGGAAGAAGAGAAGAAAGAAAAATTTATGGAACAATATCCTTGATTAGGGATTAGCAGACATTTTCTGTAAAAGGCCAGACTGGATATTTTAGGGCGTGCAGGACACACAGTCCCTGTCCTAGGACTCAGCATTGCAGTTACTCTGCAGACATCGCCATACGCAAAACCTAAGGAGAGGAACACAGCTGGGTTCCATCCAGTAATCTCCACTCTGGACACTGAAATTTCAATTCCACGTAATTTTCACATGTCACAAAATAATTGTTCTTCCTTTGATTCCCCCCCCCAAAACCATTTAAAAATGTAAAAATAATTCTTAGCTCCTGCGTTGCTCAAAAACAGATGGGGCAGATTTGGTAACCCTACCCTAGATCGTTTTAACAGTGATTAACTTGGGGAAGTGGAACTTGAGATATGTGTGTGTGTGCGTGTGTGTGTGTGTGTGTGTGTGTGTGTGTGTGTGTGTGTGTAGTTGGGTGGGGTGCCCAAGGAAACTCAGTACTGAAGGGGAAAAAGAATTTTACTTTTTGTTTTGATTCAACTCTATACTTGGAAGATGTTGGACCATAATTATGGCTTAATTATAAAAAAATTTACATCTAACAGATAAATATAATCACACTTATCTAATTGCCTAATTTTTTGCAGAGTAAGGAAAAGGGTTTTCTAGAAAGACTGTAAAGAGTATTCAAATTATAAAAATATTGAATTTTAAAACAGCGTTTCCTTTTCTCTCTCGGTTAAAAAGGACCCGGTCGCTTTAGCTGTTAATTGCATTCCTGTCAACAGAGTAAGCCTTAGGAATTTCTGTTTGCTTTATATCTAATCTGCAAGCCTCGCTGCGCTTTCATTGAGAACAATGGCGTATACACAGCTCCTGCATTCAGACCAGCTCCTTTCTTCCCCCTGATTTTTTTTTTCTGGTGTTGAACTCCAACCAAACATTAAGTTACCATGGGAAGTAAAAGGTAGAAGAGGAAGAAAAAAAAAAACCCCAAGGTTGTATTTGGCCTCATTTTATAAGGACACTCAATCTGAATTTGGAGAACAAGAGAAGAGGTTTTAGTGTGAGGAGCATGAGAACTGGAGAGGGGTCCCGGGTTCTTCAGACAAGCCTGTTTTTGTAAGTTTGCAGGTGAATGTGCTCTTGTTTCCATGCAGGTGGAGCTGCAGGTCAGGGGCGTGGGTATGTGTGCTTGTCTGGGTCTATAAATCCACGCCCATTTTTAACCAGAAACATCCAGAATACACTTCCAGCGAGAGCACTGGCTAGTTCAGGTAAGCAAGCAAAGTTTCTCGATTATTTAACCAGTGGCCAAGCTCTGCTATACTTAAGTGTTCCACGTATTGCTATTCCAAAGTGAGGGCTTCAGTAAAGGGTAGGGAACATTCCAGGCGATTGTATATTTTTCTTTTAAGGCACTGGGTTTCCTTTGCTGGCTTCATACTTTTATTTTCTCTCTTAATGATATCGCAATAAACTACTATTGACCAAAAATGACCCTTCAAAAAAAGTATGCTACAAGTAACACTTGTTTTTCCCTGTTGCTTTTTAAATGTTTTATTTTTAAAATAGAAATTTTATAGGACATCTAAGTAAATGACTTATGTTAACTTTCTTTTGAAAATAAAATATTGGTGTCATAAGATGCTCACTGGCCAATGTTTATAACATCTAATTGTAGACATCAGGTTATTGCCTCCTGAGTGCATTGCTGTAGGCTGCCGTAGGCTGTAACCATGGCATTTTCATTGGTTCCCCGAGCAGCTTAACCTTGCACCTGGGGTTAGGGAACCCTCTGTAGTCAGCATTCTGTTTTCCCAAGGAAAACATGTTCGTCCAAAAATAAAAATATATAAATTGATCAGCTTTATCATAGAATATATTTCATAACTATTTTACATTCTTTTACCAGAGAATGTAAAACAAAAATTCAATATTTTGATTTTTTAAGAACTGTCTTTAACAGTAACACATAATAACTTGAAATATGAAAAGAGAAGTGTGATTCCCATGCTACTATAAACTTGGCAGTTCTCAGTCAGGAAGGCATGAAATTACACTTTCTCTGTTTCAATACAGATTTCACCTACGCATCTGTCTCTACCACAGAGAACCTTTCCTGATGCTGCCTTCAGATTAGCTTTCCCTAACTCTGCTTTCTATCCAAGACCCTTGGGACAATCTTCAGGCAGATCTTCCCCAGGAAAGTGAACTGAGGCCCATAAAACTTTACATAAAATTTCAGGGTGTTTTTGAGCCTCCTGTCACTCAGTCATAGACTTTTTGAGAGGTCACTGGGTCAAGGTTGCTTCAATTTCTCTGCTGCCATTTTCAGCCTGACAGAGACTACCCGCCCCCCCTTGGACTCCGTGCTCCAGATTCAGCAGCCTCTTTCTCCTACTAAAACCTGCCTTCCCTTTGTTTCAGTCTTTAAGGTATAAGATGACCGGTCCTTGAGGTACACGAAGGCATTCTGAATGCTTTATGGTATTAATAACTTACAAGAACCTGACTTGTCATTCTTATCAGGCACCGTGGTTCCTTTTTTAACAGGGTTTTTTAATAATTAAGGCCAAAGACATAAAAAAATGGGTTCATTGCAGATTAGGAAGGGAATTGATTTAAATAGAGGGGGACTGCAGGGAGAGACCACTGACAAGGAAAAGATACTAGATAAGAGGGATAAGGAAGTGTATAGAGAACCCCAGAATCTATAAACTTCCCACCACCAAACTCTTCTCTCCATGACTATGATTGCTATAATATATAATGAACCTTTAACACTGTCAAACAGTAACTTATTTGAAGGTGCATTTGTCTTATTAATCTTTCAATTTTCCACAATGCCTAATACAATTACATATAGCAATATTCATGTTTGTGCAGAATTGCAAACTGGTCATTCTCTTATTTTGGTGGGGAATTCACTATTAAATAATGTAAGTCAACAGGAAAACTGCTCTGAAGGAATCTATATAATAAATGGCTAATATGCAAACTGACCAAACAGCGGAACAACCAGTCACTATGACATACACTGACCACCAGGGGGCAGACGCTCAACGTAGGAGCTGGCCCTGGTGGTCAGTGCGCTCCCACAGGAGGAGCGCTGCTCAGCCAGAAGCCGGGCTCACAGCTGGTGAGCGCAGCAGCAGTGGCAGGAGCTTCTCCTGCCTCCACAGTAGCACTAAGGATGTCTGACTGCCAACTTAGGCCAACTCCCCTAAGCCATCATTCGGATATCCCCTGAGGGGTCCTGGACTGGGAGAAGGTGAAGGCCAGGCCGACGGATACCCCCGCCCCGAGTGCACAAATTCCATGCACCAGGCCTCAGTTTTAAATAAACAAGAAAGATGTCTGTACATTTATTTTATATTTTGCAGCGATGTCAAAACTGCACGTTAACTACTTTTCACATGGGTTTTATATGCTACAAATGCTGAAACTATACATCTAACAAGCATTAAACATATCATGTAAGATATTAATCAAGTGGTTGAGTCCAGCTCAGATCCAACTCTAGACTTTTGATTATATCTTAACGTGCAGAGTATAAGGAACAGTACATTGACTTAAAAATCCACTTGAATCCTAGCTAACCAAGGGATAGCTATAGATGCAACAAGCCTGTTCTTCTTTACACATATATTTAATTTATAGCAATGTGACAATAAATTTGATTTCTAAAAGAGCTGGTTTGTAAGCTGAAGGGCAAAAGGCTGAGTCACTGATGGAAGAATGAAAATGATGAATGGCTACAGAGGACCTGAAAAACAAGAATCTCCATATTCTATTTTTCCCTCTGAACTCAATTGTAAGCAATAAGTGTTCATGCCTAATCTTATTATCTTGGCACAGAGATCAAGAAGAATCCAAAGAATATGCATGCCCGCACATCACCTTGGCATTGCACTTTAGAGTTGAAAGGCCTTTAATAAACCTGATCTGATGTGAGCTTCACTGTAATGCTGTGAGCACTGACACACAGTCAGATGTGAGCTTTGAGTGCCCCAATCAGTTTTCTTTCAACGTCATTGTACTGCTCCCAGCATGCCCGGAATGTGGCTTTTCACCCAAGTGGACATTACTGAATTGATAGCATTTTTAAAAATATTTTATAAATAGCAAGTGAATGAAAGTTCTGGGAGGTTGTACCATGTCAACTCACACAAGCAGAGCAAGCTGTCTGATTCTTAAATGGCTGCTTGAAGTAGCCTACTAGATTCTGAACATTATTTTCTACCACCTAGCTTCGTCGGAGGGATTCTCAAGAACACGTGATGTTACACTCGGCTTTCGCCCTCTGTCTCTTCCTGGTTGCAGTGTCTTCCAACCTTGCCATTGCCATCAAAAAAGAGAAGAGGCCTCCTCAGACACTCTCAAGAGGTACTGGAATCTCCTCTTATTCTCTAAACTCAGCCATTTGAATGGTTTCCAAATTTCTAGTCTCCTACCCATATTCTACATTTAAAGCAAATTCAATTAATTGCAATATTTTGTTGTTTACCACATTAAAGTAGGCAAAAAGCAAAACCCAGAAAAGACCAGTTGATTTCAAAGACTGAACCAGCCCTAGCTGTTGTGTCTCAGTTGGTTGAGCATTGACCCATACACCAAGAGGCAACCAGTTTCTGGGTAGGGCTTGGGTTGCCAGCTCAGTCCCAGTTGGGGCCATGTAAGAGGCAGCCAATTGATGTTTTTCTCCATCTCCCTTCCTCTGTCTCTAAAGTCAATAAAAACATATTTTTAAGTAAAAAAAAAAAGAGTGAATCAAAGCACTTGAAAACCATTAATAATTTGCTATAGTGTTTATAGAAATGGTGATGAATTGGTTTGGTGGCCTGTAACTTTGGTAACCAGAGTCCTAGAAAATAATAATTGATGTGTCATAATGATATCTTAAAGGGGATTAAGATCTCTCAAAATCTGCTCCAATTCCCTGTCTTCTATTCATGCAAAAATGATGATTTGGAATGATTTTATACAAGAACCCCCAGAAAGTTATATTTTATTCCATCCTCTGAAAAGTTTGGGTAATCAAGTGTTTGCTATATTGACTCCAAAAAGCAACTGCAGTAGTTTTTGACATAATAATCCAGGTCTATCATTGGCTACATGTTTAGAAAACATTTCTATTTTGTACTTAGTACTTTCCTTTGACCTAAGAAACAAATATATCTTCATCTGTAAAAAAACAGTTTGTAGAGAAAATTCTCAAAATCAGCTCCTACATTTCCAGGTAACAAAATTGGGAGGAAAATCATTTGTCTCCATATAGCTAATTTAAAAATAGTAGTACAAACCTCAGAACACTTGACCACCACTTGGAATAGTATATGAATGGAGCAAACAAATGGATTATAACATAATTTCAAATTTTAAAATATTGACTTTCCAAGTTCATCATTTCTTAACAGATGTATAATTACCCATCAAAGTTCAGCCAAGTTAATTCATTCTACTTTAGTTCAAAACCACAAAAACTATAAACTAAAAAGACTAGCAAGTTTTGAAAAAGAAGTAAATTAAAAGAAGGAAATATTTTTCTAAGTATAACTTATCATGAATCTCTCTGTATAAACACAATAGTTATAAAGCAATGAGCTCAGTAGTCTTGGAGTGGAATATTAAACTTACCATTGCCCCTACAGACCTTCCAGGACTAAGTTAAACAACTGTACCATAAAGCACCAACATTCGTGGCCCTGGCTGTGTTGCTCGTTGGTTAGAATGTCACCCCATACACCAAAAGGTTGTGGGTTCAACTCCCCATCAGGGCATATACCTACATTGTGGGTTTGATCCCAGGTCAGGAGGCAGCCCATTGGCCCATTGATGTCTCTCTCTCTCTCTCTCTCTCTCTCTCTCTCTCTCTCTCTCAAAAAAAGGCAATGAAAATATATTCTCGGGGGAAGATTTTTAAAAAATTGGTGAATTTCATGAGAAATATACTCAACATACATGGTAAATTTTAAACAACTTGATAAGTCTGCTAATTCCGTTATTTAACACTACTTTAATAGGAAGATGACTGATATCAGCTGTGAATTCTATTATTAAGAACTGGTTTACATTTGGTTAAGCCTTTTAGCATCTGTCAGCATATAGGAAACAATTGAGAGAATACAGCTCAAAATAAATGAGGCTTAAAGGTAGGGATAAGAGGGAAGAGTTTGCATACAGTGTACAGAGTTGTACATGAGCCCCTTAGAGAAGGGGGCAACACCAAACAATTAAATAGAGAGTGTGTTAGGAAGAAAAGGGAAGATTATTAGGAAAAGGTAATAGAAATTTCAAGAAAAAAAGCAACAGTGACCCCAAAATCCTAACTTCCTTTTAAGTCAAAAGAATTGCCCAGCACCCAACACCCAGCTCAGTGCCTGGCATATAGTAGGTACTCAGTCCTATATAATAAAAGCCTTATATGCTAAGTGTCCAGTCATCCAGTCGACTGTTCAACCAATCAAAGCATAATATGCTAATGATATGCTAAGGCCACTCAACCACTTGCTATGATGTGCACTGACCACCAAGGGGCAGACACTCCAACCAGTAGGTTAGCTTGCTGCTGGGGTCCGGCATATCGGGACTGAGCGAGATGTGGCCAGACATGCCCTGGAGCCCTCCCACGGTCCTTCCCCGGCCACAATCATGCACCAATGGGGTCCCTCAGCCTGGCCTGCACCCTCTCGCAATCTGGAACCCCTTCGGGCAAGGTTGGAGAGCCGGTTTTGGCCTGATCCCACAGGCCCCTCCCCTTGGGAGGGTGTTCACGACTGGTGAGCACTGCTGCAGCAGCGATGCAAGCCTCTCCCGATTGGGACTGACAATAGAAAAATTAAATAGGATCCCAGTCCCACTGGCTGTTTCTGAATAACTGTTAGTGCAAAATATGGTGTGAAGTTACTACATAGATTTGAACAAAGCTATAAAGACAATCTTTCAGGATTATTACAGATAGGAGGGGTATTAAACCAACATAATATGTCTTCCAATGTTAAGATACTAAAATTAGGCAAAAACAAACCAATAACATTACTAGTAAGAGTACAAAATAGTGCAATCATTTGAATAAAAATCTAACAGTTCCTCAACTGATTAAATGTAGATACCATGTGACCCAGCAATTCTACTCCTAAGTAGATAGCCCAAGATAAAAAATATGTCCATACAAAAGCTTATATACTAATGTTCACAGCAGCATTATTCATAAAAGGCAAAAAGTAGAAACAACCCGTGTCCCTCAACTGATGAATGGATAAATAAAATGTGATATATCCATAAATGGAATAATATTTGGCCATATAAAGGAATGAAGTGCTAATACATGACACAACACAGATGAACCTTGAAAACATTATATTAAGTAAAAACATCCAGCCACAAGACGACATATTGTATGATTCCATTTATATGAAATATCAAGAATAAGAAATGTATAGAGACATAAAGTAGATTAGGTATTTTTTTAGGGCTGGGGGAGAAGGAGGGATGAGGGGTGATAGCTAAAGGGTACAGGGGTTTTATTTGAAGCTATGAAAATGTTCTAGAATTGATTATGGTGATGGTTGTACAACTCTGTGTATATACAAAAAGAGGGTGCACTTTCAATGGATAAATTGTATTTGCATGTGAATTATATTTTAATACACTGGTTACCAAAAGGCAGACAAAGCAAAAACAAACCAACAAGCAAAAATCATGGAAATGTGTTTATCTTACTTTATAATTCTGCTTCATAATTTTTGGCCATCTTGTAGCCATGGTATCAAAACCAGAAACTGCAGTCTGACAACATGGGAAACATACAAGAAAATCTGGGTCTAAATTAGACTAGAAATATTTCTATTTTCAAGTTGATTCAATCTTTCTTATCCATAAACCAAGACACTTTCTGAAAATACCCTGTAGTATTTCTGAATGTTTTTTGTGTGTTCTACTCCTCAATGATCTTATTCTTTAATCTCTAATACACATTCCCAACTACCTGTATCACTTTTTTAAAAGCTAGTGGGTCTCTCTCTACTCATTGCTTTCTGTTTCTCTGGCCTTCACTCTTCTGGATGCTTCCAGAACACCCGTGTTTTATTGTGTGTCTCAACCATGAAACACCAGAATTTTTTCTGAATCAAAATTCAAAGCAAAAATTTGGAATTCCTTTTTCCATTTTCACGATGTTTAAGGACTTAGAAGGGGTCAGCATTTCTTGGCACTCAAAATACAAAGGCACTGTATGATATTGCTCAAAGGTATTCCTACTAGACTTACAAAGTGTACAAAGATTAACTGTTATTTCCTGCTGTTCATTCTGAAACCAGAGGTTCTGCACAGTCCAGAGATGTCCTTTCAATCATCACTAATAATAGCATTTATTGAGAACTTACTGGGTTCAAGGCCATGGACCTTAAGGGTGGAAACACAATCACAAAATCTCAGCTCTATGATCTGGAAGGATACCACTCTTCATATCTAATTATAATTATACTAGAGGTCCAGTGCACGAATTTGTGCATGGGGGAGGGAAGGGGGGGATGGACCACAAGAGGTTGGCTGGCCAGGGGTGAGGGACTGCAGGTGGTTGGCCAGCCACTGGAAGTTGGCTGTGGGAGTGCACTGACCACCAGGGCGCAGCTTCTGCATTGAGCATCTGCCCCCTGGTGGTCAGTGCCCATCATAGCGATTGGTCAACCAGTCGTTTTGGTTGTTCATCATAACAGTCGCTTAGGGTTTTATATAGAGAGACATCCTCTATACCATATATCAGGCAAGTGCTTGGTAGCTTACTAGTATCTGCAGATAGATATCTGATTGTCACATACCTACTTCAGAGCTCCTCTGTGGTCCTGAATTAATGCATTGATTTCTCTTCTGTTCTAGGATGGGGAGATGACATCACTTGGGTACAGACTTATGAAGAAGGTCTCTTCCATATTCAAAAAAGGTAAAACACCTCTCAGTTAATTTTGACAGACCATATAGATACCTCTCACAAAAGAGCCAAAACCTTGCAAGTTCACTTTTGAAAAGATATCACATGCATTTGCTCTACTATTGTGCAACTGAGAGTTGCCATTACAATGTTTTCTACAAACAAAAGCTCTAAATACTTTATTAATTTCTTTTTAAAATATTTTTATTGATATTTAGAGAGGGAGGGAGAGAGAGAAACATTTATGCTAGAGCCTCCTGCACATCCCCTACCAGAGATTGAGCCCACAACCTGGGCATGTGCCCTAACCAGGAATTGAACTGGCAACCTTACGGTGCCTGGGACAATACCCAACCAACTGAGCTACACTGGCCAAGGCTGTATTAATTTCTTAACTGGACAAGAAAGCTTTTGAATATAAGTTATATAAAAGAACAATATCCATCAGTAGGCATTATACAAGCTTTAACAAAAAACTGGTTTAGAATAGCAGTTCCCAGGACTGTCTGATCAGAACAATTCAGATAATTTTCTTTAAAATCCATATTCATGATCAATCAGTAAATTAGTATTGAGTGGCCACAGCTATGTGCCAGGCACTGTTCTATGCTCAATGACCATGAGTGACATGATTTTTATTCTTACTGACTTACTAAATCTTTGGGGATGGAGCTGAGAAACTTGTATTTTTTAAAAGCACCCTGGGAATTTATCAAATATCTGAAGAACATTCTATTCTAATACTCTTTTAAAAAGAAGGAAAGATTCCAAATTAGAATTGAGTAAAAGGCTGTCTCAACACTGAACAAAATATTGCAAAATAAAGAAGTCTACAAAATAATCATTTCTAAAAGGAATATAAAAAACAAACAACATATTAGCAAAGAGTAGCCAGTAGAACATTTAAAGAATACACCCTGATTAAGTGAAATATAGTCTGAGAATACTAGGCAGATTCAAGATTAAGAAATCTATTAATTTAAATAATATTTAATATTTATAAGGAGACATATCATATAAGTATCCCCTATCTCCATAAATGCTGAAAGGCATTTAATTGAATGCAAACTCCAGGTTTGAATTTTTTTAGAAAAATTATTTAACAAGATTAATTTATTTTCATTTATCCTAACAAGGAAATATTCAACCCAGCAAAAAAATCCACATCATGCTTATTGGAAAAACAAATATAGAATACCAGATGATGTATTATAGAATTGTATCCCTGACACTCATATAATATTATTAACCAATGTCACCCAAAAAATTTAATTAATTTTTTAAAAAGAAGTGTCCCACAGAAATCTGAATAAGACAAGGATGTCTATAATCACCACAATTAGTCCTTAATTGATATGAAACATTTGGCAAAGTTATAATAAAATATTGGTAAATAAATCAAAATTAAGATTATAAAAATAAAACTGGATATTACAGAAAAATGTTTACACAATAAACTAACATTTTAAATCAAGGTAGGGGAGATAAAATATGTAAAATAAATTAATGTTAGAGAGAAGAATAAATCATCTGGGAAAAATAAATCAATTTTGATTCATAAGTCAAATTTCATCATAATAAATTATACAGATCCTATATAACAAAAGGCCAGGGACCATAAGCGTAATGACCGGAATGACCACTCGACCATTCACCATAAGATGCATTGACCACCTCTCAGTCCCTCCCCTCCCCCACCCCTACCCCCACCTGCAGGCAAGTGGGGAACCACAGGGAAGTGGGTGGGTGGCTACAGGGCGGGACTGGGGACTGGCGAGCTGGCAGAATGGCTGACCTCTTGGTCCCTCCCCCTGACCCGCAGGCTCCGATGGATCAGCGATGGTGAACAGGGGAACCGGGTGGGTGGCAGGAGGACCCGGCTGGCTTTCAGGCCGTTGGGATTCCCCAGCTCATCCCCGGCGGCTCAGGGACTCAGGCCAGCTGGAGGCGGCGTTCAGCCTGGGACTGTCGAATGGGCAGAAGATGGCCATGATCGCAGGCTAGGCCTAGGGACCCTACCCGCACAATTTCGTGCACTGGGTCTCTAGTTTCATTATAAAAATGCAGCTATTAAGGTACTAGGGGATAGTATTGCAAAATACTTCTCTCTCTCTCTCTCTCTCTCTCTCTTTCTCTCTCTCCTTCCTCCCTCCTCCCTCTCTCTTCCCTCCATCCTTCCTTCCTTTCTTCCAATAAATAAAGCCTTATCTTTTTTAAAAAAAATGTATCTTTATTGAATTCAGAGAGGGAGGGAGAGGGAGAGAGATAGAAACATCAATGATGAGAATTATTGATCTGTTGCCTCCTGCGTGCCCCGACTGGGGATCGAGCCTGCAACCCAGGCATGTGCCCTGACCAAGAGTCAAACTGTGACTCTAGTTTCATTATAAAAATGAAGCTATTAAGGTACTAGGGGATAGTAAGGTACTAGGGGAGAGAGAAAGAGAGGGAGAGAGGGAGAGAGGACGAGAGGGAGAGAGGAAGAGGGAGGGAGAGAGAGAGGAAGGGCTGGTAGAAGGGTGAGGTAAGACAGGGTCTTTGGAAGCCAACATAAAACACTTAACTTTTTCACCCTAAGGCTTTTCTTGCCTCACCCTGTTCCTTCTACGGAAAGCATATACTGTATCAAATTTATAAATGCACATATTCTCTGACCTAGAAATTCAACTTCTGGAAATTTACATACCTATATGTAAAATCTTAAATAACATCACCAAAGCAGTGTTTTTGTTTGGAGATAATCTAAACACAAAAAAAAATTGGAAGCAATTTAAATATCTATCTTCAGTGAACTAATTAAACTAAAGAATATCCATATCCTGAAGCACAGGGAATGCGATGCGGGAGGTACCATTATGATAAAAAAGCAAAATGCAAAAACATATGCATAGTGCACTCGTATTTGTATATTTTTAAAAGAAAGGGATACATACATACATATGGGCATGCATATGAACATGCTCAATATATTCAATAGTGACATATTCATTTGCATAAACATAAACATATTCCTTTACAGAAATATATGCATGTACATAAACACATACTTATGCTTATTTATATTCATAAGCATGGACATATACATGTACACACACATACACATATTCAGGTACATGGAAGGACACATAAGAAATAGTAACACTGTTTACTTCTGAAAGGCAGGAGTGGGAGGAAAAATTTTTACCTTTTTACCGTTTTGATTTTAAACTATTTGAATTTGTAACCCATTTTAAAAGAAAAAAATATATAAAATTTTAAAAGATCATTCTCCAAATGATGCTGATAAACTGGGCTTGGTAGACTCTGGTGTTACAGAATCTTGGAAGTACAGCATTCAAAAATGTTTACTCTTTCTATCAACTCATTTCTCATATTCTGGTGGGCTAGTTGTGAGATTGTTAGACCAGGGACCACCTAATTTTATTTGATCTGTGAACTAACAATGATTTTTACATTTTTTAAAAAAGTTTTTACCAGAAGAAAACTAGTATGTAGCCTGGCTGGTGTGGTTCAGTGGTTGAGCATCACAGTTTGATTCTTGGTCAGGGCACATGCCTGGGTTGCAGGCTCGATCCCCAGTCGGGGCATGCAGGAGGCAACAGATCAATTAATTCTCATCATTGATGTTTCTATCTCTCTCCCTCTCCCTTCCTCTCTGAAATCAATAAAGATACATTTTTTTTAAAAAAAGATAAGGCTTTATTTATTTTGAGAAAGGAAGGAAGGATGGAGGGAGGAGGGAGGAAGGAGAAAGAGAGAGAGAGAGAGAGAGAGAGAGAGAGAGAGAGAGAGAGACAAAGAAAGAAACAGAGAGGGAGAAAAATGGAACTTTAATAGCTTATTTTTTGCTTGTTTTCAACTGGCAAACAATAGGGTAGGGGTGAGAGTTAGGAGCAGAATTAGCCCCAGTATTTTGGACATGTGATAGTTACATTATACTCAAATTTAAGGATCTATAAATTAAGGTTTACTGTAATACAGCCACACTCATTTTGTTACATATTGTCCATGGCTGATTTTGTTCAATAATGGCAGAGTTGGAGAGCTGCAAATAAGACACCAGTCTGCAAAACCTCAAAAATATATGATTTGTCTCTTTGCCGAAAAGAGCCCTTATTTTAGACTGTTCCTACTTCAGTGTCTGCCAGAATTACTTCTCTGCTTTTCCTGA